TGGACCCTGAGAACAGCCAGAAGGCCTGTCAGAAACTATAGGTTCTCCTCCTCCGTCTAGTGTCTAGGAAATCTCTGAGTCCGAGATGGATGCAGCCTCGATACCATTACCGCTGGAAGAGGAAGACACACTCCCAAGATACTCCAGACACAAGAGAAGCTCTAAGAGAAAGAACAGGTCTCCATCCCAGGACTTTTGGGGGTGGGGGGTAATGTAGTGACCGGAACCAGGGCCAAGTGGATCTCATTGACTCAGATCCTTGATTGGCTCAGGTAACAACCCCTATCAGGGAATCCTGGCTGACAGATATAAACAGGAGTGTCAGAGAGTCTCTTGATTCTAGGGACTGGCTCAGAGCTGGCTGGTTGCAGCCCATGCACTTTGCACATGTAAATAAAAGGTGACTTAGTGACAGGATACCAGCCTCTTTGCAGTTATTTCAAGTAAGGACATGGCAGATGTGATACAACGTGGAAGCATGTGGGGTTATGCACTTTGGAAGGAGAAATAAATGGACAGAATATTTCTCAAATGGGAGAGAGATTGGGAAGTGTAGATGTACAAAAGGACCTGGGTGACCTTGTCGATAAGTCACAAAAGGTTAACATGCAGGTGCAGCAAGCTATTAGGAAGCTCATGGAATGTTAGCCTTTATTGTCAGAAGATTAGAGTACAGGAGGAGAAAAATCTTCCTTCAATTGAACAGGAACATGTCTACAGCACATCTGGAGTAGTGTGTAAATTTTGGTCTCCTCCTCTCAGGAAAGATAGTGCAGTAAAGGTTCACCAGACTGATTCCCAGGACTGTCTATAGAGAGAGATTGGTCTGTATTCTCTGGAGTTTTAAAGAATGAGAGGTGATATCACTGATATTTACAAAATACTAAAAGGAATATGCAGATGCAGCTAAGATGTTTCCTCTGGTTGGGAATCTAGAACTGGGAAGCACAATTTAAAAAAAAAACAATAAGGGGGAAATGCTTGCTAATTCGGACTGAGATGAAGCTAATATTTTTATGGGAAGGATTTGTGAAACTTTGAACTTCCACATCCCTCAGTGGTTGAGAATTCCAATCTGAGTATATTTGAAGTAGTGGCTGATAAATTTCAGATTATCAATCACATACAGCGTTAGAGGGAGGGGATGAGTAAAAGGCATGAAGTGTTCGATCAGCCACAATTGTATTGAATGGTGGTGCAGACTTGACAAGCTCGAATGGCCTATTCTAACACTTTTTTTTTTATTGAATTCAAAGTTCACCATCTGTCATAGCAAGCTTTGACCTCATGCCCCTAGAACATTGAGAATAGGGAAGGGGTATTTGCTACAAACACAGTCTCTGGAGTATAACCTGTGAGAATGTGAAATTACCTATTTTGGTAAGAAGAATAAAGGAAGAAGCATATTATCTGAATGGGGAGAGGTTGCAGAGCTCGTGTACAGTACTGGTCACCTCATTTAAGTGAGGGTTTGAATGGTGTAAAAGCAGCTCAGAGGTTTACTAGACAAATACCTTAAATGGGTGGGTTTGTGAGGGCTAGGTTTAAATCTGCCAGAGGTTAGAAGGGCAAGGAGCTTACTGGATTGAAACATACAAGAACCTGAGGGGGCTTGACGGGGTGGATGTGGAAAGAATATTGCCTCATTTGGAAAAATCTAGAAATCGGGGTCAACTCTTCAAAATCTGGGCTGCCCATTTAAAACAGAGATGTGGTGATTTTATTTCCTCTCGTGAGGGTCACAAGTCTTTGAAACTCTCTTCCAGATAAAGGAAGTGAAACAAAGTATCTGAATATTAAGGCAGAGGTAGATAGATTCTTATAAAGCAAGAGGGTTAAAGATTACTGTCTATCCATGGTAATGTGGATTGCAGGCTACTGTCAGATTAGCCATAATTTTATTTAACAATGGAGAAAATTCAAGGGGCTAAAGGTGTTGCATTTCTGTAAGACAAACCAGGGCAGGCCTTACACAGTTAATGGTAGGACCCTGGGGAGTTTTATTGAACAGAGAGACGTAGGGGTGCAAGTACACATTTCCTTAACCATGGTGTCACAGGTAGACAGGGTGGTGGAGGCAGTGTTTGGCACACTAGGCTTCATTGGTCAGAACATTGATGTATAGACGTTAGGACATCATGGTGCAGCTGTATAAGACATTGGTGATGTCACTTTTGAAGTACTGTATACCGTTGCGGTCTCCCTGTTATAGGAAGGATGATGTTAAATTGGAAAGATTTCTAGAATTTTCTCACGGAAAACATTTACAAGGATGTTACTAGAACTGAAGAGTTTTGAGGAGAGGCTGGAGCACGTTTCCCCCCGGAGCATAGGAGGTTGAAGGGTGACCTTTTACAAAATCATGAGGGGCGTGGATAAAGTGAATAGCAAAAGTCCTTTCCATCGGGTAGGAGAGTTCAAAACTAGAGGGCACATTTTTAAGGTCAGAGGGGAAAGACTTAAAAGGGACCTGAGGGGTAACTTTTTCCACACAGAGGGTGGAATGAACTGCTGGAAGAAGAGGTAGATGCAGGTACAATTAAAACATTTAAAAGAGATTTGGATAGGTACATGAACAGGAAGGGTTTACAGGAATATGGGCCAAACACAGGCAAATGGGACTAATTTAGTTTGGGAAAGTTGGTCAGCATGGACCAGTTGGATCAAAGGGTCTGTTTCAGTGCTGCATGAGTCTGGATTCTATAAATGGCCCTCTCCTGCTTGTTGGTGGGTTAGGGAAAGGCATTAAGAAATATAGTGAGAGGGAAATATAGTGAGAAGCAGTGACGGAGGAGAGAGGCTGGGACAGTGTGAATGGAATCAGAAGGTGACACAAATGTTTGTCAATTTCATTACAAATAATCAAACAAAAACATTGATGGTGAAACTCAGAGGTTAACTTTTTTTTTTCTCCACAGATGCTGCCAGATCTACTGAGAGTTGCCAGCAATTTCTGTTTTGTTTCAGGTCTCCAACATCTGTGGTTCTTTGTTTCATTTGAAATAAACTTTGCCAAAACTTTTGGTTACTTTTTTTAATCTTTCTCTGACAATAAAATCACTGAAAAACTTACCTTTAATGTGACTGTCCCTTTTTCTGCAAGAAAAACACAAAACACAACATTTTTAAATGACAAACGTTCTGCAATCAGTTTCATAAGATGATCTTTTAGTAAACAAACAGGGATCAGCTGGAACTCTCTCAAATTCACACAGAGAACTTACCAAAGACAGAGCCATGACCATGAGCGACGACTGCCCCTTTGGTGACGAGCTGGACCTGGACATTCGTTTCCTTCACTGGATTAAAAATTGTGACACTGACCACCCCCTTCAGGCCTGCTCGAAAAACTGAGGGAGCCGTCACCAGGTAACCCCTAGAACAGAGTGGCAGACGTTAAGAGTCAATATCCCCTCCCAGACAAACAGCTGCCTCCTCCAACCCAATACCTGACCTGGCCACCCCGCCACCACACCGTTTCCCCCCACACTACTCTCTCTCTCTCAAGCTCACGCTCTGTCTCTCGCTCGATCTCACTCACTCACGCTCTCCCTCTGTCACTCACATGTGCACTCTCTTCCCTCTGGCACTTGCGCACGCGCGCGTGCTCTCTCTCTTCCCTCTGGCACTCGCACACGCGCGCGTGCTCTCTCTCTTCCCTCTGGCACTCGCACACGCGCGCGTGCTCTCTCTCTTCCCTCTGGCACTCACGTGCTCTCCGTCACTCATGCCACGTGCTCTCGCTCACTATCTCTCTTCCCCCTGTCTCTCTCTCATTCCCTCTCTCTGAGTGGAACTTACTGTCTTTCTTGGCAATGACAGAGGTAACAGTGGTAAAGTAGAATCCACCAGTAGCGGCTGACGCGCGCACACTCTCTCTCC